AGGCATCATTCTTCAAAAGAAAACCAAATAATTAATACCTGCATATGTTATAGTACACTTTTGTACTACAAATACCATAGCCAGTCTAGTGTAATGGTTAAAGTGTTGGATCAGGACTGTGGAAAAGATCTAACTCCTAATCTGTCTTCAGTCATAGAAACTCATTGGAAGACCTTCTCTCAGCTCCAGTCTAACCCAACTAAGAGTTGTGGGGATGGTGAGCTTCTGAAGGATATAAATCTAACCAATAAATAAATAAATGAATGAATGAATGAATGAATGAATGAATGAATGAATGAATGAATGAATGAATATTGCATTACATTAATGAATATATAATAAATACCATAAATATCAACACAGTCAACCCACTGTTGCTCTTTCAGGAGCATAACTAATAAAAGCAGCAGAAAAAGTTCACTGAAATATATTACTTATGCCCATTCGTATAGTTCTTCATCATGTGACACAAGAATGATCAAATTTCTTATGAAAAAAACTTAAAAAGTTTTACTTACTGTAAAAAGAATGGGCTGGCACAGAGACAAGTTGGTTATAGATGTGTTTTCCATGGTCATAAGTGATAGCCTTTGGCCCATCCATATAAACCAAAGTATGGATCTCTACAAAGATTTTGAAAGTTGTCACCTAGTATTATATACACAGAGATGATTCACTGAGGAAGTACTTTTATTGCTCCTTGAAGCAAAGCAGAGTGGACTTTCGGACCTGCTTTCCTCTGTTCAGCATTTATTGATAGCAGGTCCTCAAAATTACAAATAATATTTAAAAGTAGAAGGAAAGGAAAACAAGCATTTAATGTCTGCTGTGCTCGGGTCAAATTGATCTGGTAACTATAACTGTTTTAAGTTGTAGTATGTGACTAAACAGGAGAAACAAACAGATGGTGACATAATGTAAGAAGAAAAAGGGCTTTATCTGACCACATTTTTTTGAGTGCAACCTTTCATAAAGTGTCATTTTGCAGAGCAATAGAAGCTCAGCTCTAATTAAAATATACCATCTTAGTTCAGAACTGAGAAATATATCCTAGGCAGTTGATCTTTATATTTATTTATATATTTATTTATATTTCAAATTTAGTCACCGCCCATCTCAATCAGAGAACGACTCTGGTTGGTTTTAATATAAGCTACTAAAGGGTAACTTGGTTAGTAGAAAACCAGATAAAAAAATAAGAGGTGCCCTCTAGATGAGACTTATCCAGGCCATAATTCTGTTGCCCTAAAATCCAAAACAACTTGGTTTTTAACTCTAATTGAAATCATTCATGAATTGATAAAACAAGCAGCAATCACAGTAACAATGTTATATTTTGTTTTACATGTTCATACATTTGTTCTATTTAACAATCCATTGGCCATTGAGCTTGTTCAGGATTCTTTGGTAAGTCAAAAGTCTTCTCAAGTTTAAGTAGACTACATTGATGGGTTCACTTCTATTTATGTGCTAATTTTTACTCCCCAAAATATCTTATTCAACTAGTCATTATTTTGGGGTATGCATGATGAGGTTATCATTTAAAATACTTTTTCACCAATTCACCTGGAATGGATGCTCAGCAAACTAGCCTGTAGTTTTCAAGATGTCTCCTGGCTCAATCTTTCAGCTAATTCACATTTGAATTTTTAAAGGGCTCTTAGAGGGATGCCATCTAATTTGGTTATCAATAAGGACGAGAACAAGAATACTCAATCTGAGAATTAGAAACAACTGGTGGTTCCCAAGGATACTATAAATGGGTGTCCAACTATTTTTTAAATGAAATATTCAACTTCTAGTTCCATTTCAAATTTCAACTGAAACCTTGCAAGTTTTGACATTCCTGCCCCAAATCTTACAGAATATTCTACAGGAATACTAACATCTTGCAAGAGTTGGTAGTCTCATCAGATTTCAACTATTTAAAAGAAAAGTTAAATTAAATTAATTTTTCTTTGATTTCAGGGACCTGCACACATCTTCAGGGGATCATCATATGTGCCACTTTACCACCAGCCACTATGTTGCTGACTCCAGTCTAAAGCATGGGTCCTCAAAATGTTTCAGAGGCAATGTAGTGGTCCACACAAAGGAGAAGATTAGGAACTATTGACTGGAACATCATTTCTTGTCAGTATTTGCCTCAGTTTTTCAGCATTATGGATGCAGTTACTGCTCAGCCTAACCTAGAAACCTCAGTTGCCTAGAAACAACAGCCAATCATTACTTGGGTTAAGCAAGTTAGGCCCTTAGCATTAGCCAAAGTACCTGAGGTATCAGATTTTGGCAGTCAAAAAAGGGCATCAGATGGTTAGTAACATAATTTGTTCTTATTGTAGTTTTACTGTCAGGGATTGGAACAGATTCTTACATTATTTCCTGCCTCATGGGCTAAAATAATTCACTTGGTTTTGGGGCACTGTGCCCTTGACATAGAGCAAAACATGGTTTATTGCTTCTCTGCCTCAAGTAATGAAGTATGTTGAACAAGCCTTGAGTGGAAATCCCATGTCTTGTGGAATACCAGACCCAGTGAGATAGTCTGCCTTTAGAAGGAAGCAATGAAGTGCTAACTCTCTGTGACACTGGGAGTCACAGAGCTAGGAAGACTCTCTGAAAGTATCTACCTCTGATGAGATATTGTGGCCTGAGGCTGACAAAGGTCAGTGATGTATGTCAAGGTTATAGCATGTCTTAAAGAGATAAGACAGAAGATGTTTTCCTTCCAATACATGCATGAGAAGAGAGTGAAATCACAGAGGCATCCATCAAACCTCCCAGACTGTAGCAGACACTTAGCCCTCTAGTTTGCAAAAACTTAAGCTGGAATAAATCTGTCACATTGCAACCTTATACAGTATATCCTTACTTGTGAGAAAATCTCAGCGATCTTAATAAGGGATTATTGATTAGCTGAAATGTAGAGGTTTGTATGATGAACATTTAAGTGCCCCCAGACTTGTGGTAACACTCATCAAATTAAAATGGACAGCCTCTAGACAAAACCTGGCTGGCACTTCTGCATTGAAACAAATGGCTCAATTGCTTTGCTGCTCAAGGAGACAATTTCATCTCCTCCCTTTTTCCCACTTTCAATGGGTGTGTGAGAGGGACATTGTTTTTATCTTTAAGTTTTCCTTGATTGCCACCACTTCTGCCATAAGAGTAAATGAAGCAAACAAAGATAAGAGAGGGCTCTTGAGCAAACCCAGCTTGTGGCTGCCCATGGGGTAGGGTGAGCCATACATCCAAATTTACGGAAAGCAATCCTCTGTTTGAAAGACTATCCAGGCTAAATACATTTGAAAGATCTGAAAGAAAGATGGAGAATCTATAACCCTCCCAGATGTTTTTGAGGAACAACTCCAGCATCCCTTACCATTGGCCCTGATGGCTGGAACATCTGAAGGTAGCCTTTCAGCAGTTTCGGGAGTGCCACAGGTTCCCCATCCCTGATAGAATGGGATCCTTGAAGTTGCCCACCAGGAGTTATCTTCTGAACAATAAACTGAACAGATATACCAGGAACTTGGTCCTAATGTTTCCTTGTAATTCTACTGAAATTAGGGTAATTATTTATAAATTTGCATTTCTACTTAGGCAGCAATATATGTAATTTTTATTCAAATCAGTATACCTTCTTTGGGGGCAGGGATAACCCTTTTGTTGTTTGATGGGGTAAGTGGCCATCTCACTGCTGTGTAGTGAGGTAGACTGACTTGTTCCAAGGGCTGGGGAGTTAAAGAGGAAGATGGGAATTGAAATCTGGATGGTGCACAGGTTCTGCTTTACCAAGATTGAATCTGTGTGTCCAATAAAGTAAGGATCCAAGAGGGCCTAGTCCAAGTTACCCCTTAACAGGGGATTAGGGAGAAATGGACAAGAAGAAAGACCTCTTTAGTTGTGGCCTCTGTTCTGTGGAACTCTTTATCTCAGGAGGTTCATGTGGCCTCCTCCATTCCAATGTTCCATTAGGTCAGTGTTTCTCAATTTTGGCAATTTTAAGATGTGTGAACTTCAACTCCCAGAATTCCCCCAGCCAGGATGGGAAATGGCATGGCATGGCTGGCTGGGGAATTCTGGGAATTGGCCCACACATGTTAAAGTTGCCAAGGTTGAGAAACTCTGCATTAGGTGGTGCAGAGTTGTCCTGCCAGATTTTCAACTTCAGATTATTGTTTTGTGATGCACAACTTGGGGAAGCCTGGCTTTTTCTTTAATATAGTTTAAGTGCCATTAACCCTGCATGTGCTTTTGGAGCAGCATTTGGGCTCTGAGATTGAGGACAACCTGAGATACAGGGCAAATATCTGTCTTTCGAAAAGGAAGATCAGAGGCTCATTTCTTTTATGCTTCCAACATAAACTGCCTTTTCCTGCTTCAGGCATTTTAGCAAAAGTCATAAAGAAATAAATGGAACCATAATGGAGGGGTAGATGGGGGACTCAAAGGTTTGGGGAGAGGATGAGTTTGCCCACGGGAGTTTATGATTTGCCTTGGAATTCTGCCACCCCAGTGTCCACCTGGGTAGAGCATATCAAAGACCTTAAGTATTGGGCAACACACGCTGTTCATATGAACTTTGTGCTCCCTGATTATGGTGACCTCATCCTGTTAACACAGCAGTGTTTAAAGTCCACCACAAAAGCACATTCAAAATAGCTCCAGTCTTGTTACCACCACCCCACTTGCACCGCTTGTGTTCCTTGAGTTTCCTGGGGCCCAATTTTGTTTTGTACAACTTCAGAATGAAGCTCTTCATCGGGGCACTGATTCTGTGCTTGTCTCTGAGTGGAGGGAAATGCACCGAAGAAACTATGCAGGATACTGCCATTCCCCCACCTCCACTGCCAGAGGAAAGCTCCTATTCTGACTGGGGGATTGGGACCATCCGGGATGGCATTGAAGCTGTTAATAGCTATTTTGACTTTGTCTCCGAGCTGTTAGGAGGGAAGAATGGAGTCTGTCAATACAGGTGCAGATATGGTAAGCTCTTCTTGGCTGCTGCTTTCATATCTAGTCCCTGATAGCCCAACATTATTATTCTGTGTTGACGCTTGTTGTTTCCATACACTAGGCAATGTTTCCTTGTTTGGTATGAATGGATGCTTAATGATGAAGATTGACCAGAATATTATATTCTTACTGTCATGTTTTACTTTAGTTCACTGAACTGTTGAACTTTTGTGATGCAAATTAGTGTATTTGTACTCCACACTGCCTCTATTATTAATAACATCATTACATATTTTCATTTCATCTATAAGAATGAATATATCTTGATAGTCCTTTAATTATCTTATTTGTTGTTCCATTTGTTCTAGCAAATCTACTAATAACAAACAGTCAGCATTACTCTTTAGTCACAAAGACTGGAGCATGTATCATTTTTCTAACAAGTTGTCTTAACCTAAGCACAGGGGACAGTACTCTTTACAGTATGTTTCTGTAGCTAAAACATGGAATATTGGCAGGACTAACTCCAAATGATTGTTTACTTCGCCTTACAAATTGAATTGTTCTACTTTCCAAACATTTCAAGAGGCCAGACTTGTCAAAATGCCCACTTATTTGTGTATTAGGTGAGCATCTGAGTGCCTTCTAGTTTTGTAGGACCACTGCACATCTCTCCTCCTCAGCCAACAAGATTGGGGAAATGGGGTGTTGTTTTACACAGCCGAAGGGTACAAGGTTGAGGAAGGGTGATTAGATTACACACTTATGGAATCTGGTTTTCAAATGTTGGCTTAGAACAGTATGGATATCTATAGCCACATGTAGCTGTCCTTTCTTCTTGCATAGACCCATAATCCCTGCCTTCTTTTACTTCTCAGCCAATGACCACCCTTCATCTAGGAGACGGGTAACACATCATTGTTTTCTAAACGCAAAGAGCAATGGAACAACAGTGATAATGATCGGGATGGCAAGGGAGTGAGGCCTTCTTAGCAGGATGTGTGAGTGAGTGAGAGAATGGATATAGTATATAAATGTGGGGGGGGGCATGCACACATACTTGTTATGGTCCTATCCATCAGCCTTGTTCATTTGTGCATTCCTTGAATGGTTTCTCAGTATGAAATCATAGTAAGTCCCCCCCCCCACCAAAAACAAAAACAAAAAACAAAACTAGAAAGGTGTCTACCATGGGTTGGGGAAAATCACTTGCCCCCGACTAGTCATATAGATTCAGGGTTCAGGTATTTTCTGGAATGGCAAATTCTTTTGTGTCATTCTTTTGTGTGATGCTGTCAACACTGATTTCTTCTTTTCGAATATGGAGACACATTCCACTCTGCCCCCTTGGCAAAAGCTACTGGCTAAAGATGAATTTTTGGATCAGGGAAATGAATTAATACACACAGAGATCCTTGTGATGCCCACATAGCCCCTTGTGGCTATGAAACAGTGACAGAAAGAAACATGGATAATCTTGATGGATGCAAAATATTACATTCCTGTTTTCTCTTCATTCTTCTGGTTGGCTTGATTATGTATATTGTTAAATGATATTTTCCATGCTCCATTAGCCTCTGAAATTGGTACTAATTAATTTCCCAACCACTGTTTATCAACTTCTTACTTTCTTCCTTTTTCCCGCTTGTGTGGCTGATAAATATTTGTTCTGATTCTTTTTAATCTACAAAATCCTTAGAGTTAGCTCTGGGGCAGCTGAAGGATCACTTCCTTTCATATTAAATTACCCATAACCTATTACAATTATCAGCAGCCTTGTTCTAAGTCCATCTCTTTAACAGGATCTACGTTGGAGTCCCTTTTGAGGTGCTATTTTTTTGAAATGCAACTGCTGATCAGCAGACAAATATATTGAACCATCTAGCACATTATCCACTATGTTTAAAACATGAGCACAAGGCATACGGTAATATAAAGCCTTGTTCGTCTTTTACAGCCTGTAGTTCTGCTGTAGTGTTTGTTTGTAAAGTCTATTAAATCACTTCAAATGTGCAGATCTGGCATTACAGAAATAAAGTCTTAACATTAAAAAGGTTACGTTTAAACTTTAATCGTGTGTTTGTGCATAGGTTTATATCTGTGTTCCTGTACCTCTGAGTACCTTAAAACAAACATATAATAAGGACTTGTCCTCCAACCCTTTATTCTCAGCAGGAACATTGCAATTAGCTTTCCAACAACTTTTCACATAGTTTACTCTTATTGTTCTGGGTGAAGAGATTTATTTCTTCTCCTCCAATCAGTATCAGCAGGGTCTTGCTTCTCTATGGCCCTCAGAGGAGACTAGGTCTTGAAATCATTCTCACCAAGTAAAGTTACAGTAGTAGAAGATGGAGACACATTTTAACTGGCAGAGTATGTGATCAGTTGAGTTGTGATCACACAAAAGAAATCATAAAGTACAGAAAGCTAGGAGTAGAATATTCCAGGAAAGTATCTCCAGGAGGACTGATTGGGCTGTGCATTGTGTACTTTCTGAGTAAGCAAGATCTCTCAGTCCTGGGATACAAACTTTGGTGCAGATCTACCCCTAGACAATATAATCTGATGAGTATATGAGACAAAATATTTTCAATAACAATCCATTGATTGTAGAACTCTCTTCCTAGGGAAATGAACATAGTTCCTTTCTTGCTCCACTTTCAGTGAACAGTAATTAAGGTTTTGCAGATCTTCCACAGGGATTCTTTGTTTCAGTGAAGTTTTAACCAAAGCACCCCATCAGAGAGCCCCAGTGAAAAGAAGTGGCTCCCTGCTTATAAACAGATGAGAACAGCCAGTCCACAGGGCTGCACTTCGCAACAAAAGCCCTTTGCAAAAGCCCCTTGAGGGCACAAAATCTCCTTATCTGTTGCAACCAGTTGAGGTGCTGTGGGTTGTTTCTGCAAAACTCCTTATTGAATTGTATTACCTCTGTGTCATGAAGTGCCTCTTGATGCCAGACCACATCACTTCATTTATTTATCATTGACTTCAATGTATCTAGCCACCCATCTCAACCTCATGACGCTGGGTGGCAAGCAGCAGTTAAAAATATAAAATAATAATAATAATAATAATAATAATAATAATAATAATATCACACTAAATACAAATTGGCAGCCAAGGCAAAAGCCATCACAAACATGAGCATCCCATGGGCTCTGTCACATATTCCAATCTGTATACTCCAGGGCATAACCAGGTCTTCAAAGCTGTACCAGGGTTGGGACTAATCTAATTTCTGGGAAGATAATGCTCCAAAGAGCAAGTGACACAGCAGGAAAAGCTCTGTCTTGCCAGATGGCACTTTTTCACAGGCAGGACCCATAGCATGCCTCTCCTGGCAGATCTGATGAGGTAAGGAGACCAATCAGGGAGAGGCAGTCCCTCAAATACTTCTACCATTATTACTGTATGATCTGTGTGCTCTAATTTTACATTGCATTGTTCTGTTCATTTTTTAAAAGGTTGCCATGATAAGTTTTAATTGATGATTACATTGTACATTGCTAAAGGCACCTACTGGGGTGCAATTTATAAACTGAAAATGACATCAGAATTTACAAAAATCAAATAAACTGTACATTCAGCCATAAATCTGGGTTAAATGGGGATTCAGTGTAAAGAATGGCTCTTGCCTCCTAAAATAAAGAGCCCCTATCAAAAGTGTAGGAGCAGATGCTTGGAAAATTGAGGGAACCAACCTATTAGGCCATGACAAAAGATGAGGTCATCCTGCTCCTGTTAAGTCCTTGGAATGCCAATCTCCCTTGGCAACCAGTGAAAGTTCAGACAACTTTCTCCCTGCCTCTAGACTGCATGGAGTTCTGTAGACTATTAAGTTGCTAATAGGTAATGCCGTATTTTGAACCTCCACCCCACCCCTTTTTCTGAGTGATGCCAATAGAGAATAGACACAGATGTCCATTTGCTAAGCTGTAACATATAGTCATGTACACGCTATGCATAGCCACTTGACAAACCCGTTGTCTGTTTCCACGCTTTTCATCTGAACAGCTACTAAGTAGTCACCTACCTGTCATGCAAAACTGGTGGAGGGGGGAGGCACAATTCAATGTCTGAGACTGTACTTTGCTTACAAACTATCTTCTGAAATAAAAAGCAGGTACAAAAGGGTTGGAATAGCTGTAATATATTCTGAGCTACGAGCTTCTGCAAAGTATTCTGGCTGCCATATTTTGTACTGGTTACTCTTTCCAAAGGATGTTTTGAAGAAATTAAAGGATAAAAATAATTCTTAAAATATGCAAATTACTGAAGAATAATCAAGACGGAATGTACCACCCATGATTAGATGAGCTCTAAATAAGCTAAGTCAGCATATCTGGCCCTAAAATTGATAAAAAGGACTTGTCATTAACAGCCTTCAGACAGTACTGGAACTAGACAGACCAGTGGTCTGATATTTAAAGCAAAGCAGATTTCAGGTTGTTTTGCACTAAGCAAATGTTTGACAGATAACCAGTTATACTAGTCATCTCTGTCCAAAGATGAACTCTTTTGCTGTGTGAGTGGGTTGAAATGATATTGACAACATGTGAAATGTCTCATCTTTCACTATCTACAAGCAGATGGAACTGTATCAGGAGAATCATCTACAAAGGGGCTAGGATGGGGAGATTTTTTAAAAAAGACATTATCATCTCTTTGATCAGCTACTTGTCTGCTCACTGCTTTCCAGAACAGATTCAACCTGCGCTTGGGTTACTTTTTCAACTCTTTTTCAGTACTAAGATTCAAAATAGCTTGTTTTGCCAGCCCAAATAGAGTTGTTATACTCTCTTGCGTTAATAAGTAATGAGTGTGTTAATTTTTGCTTGCAGCTGATGTCTTCCTCTTTATTTGATGGTCGTCCACTCCCTCAAACAGGGGGTCTGCAGCAGGGCTCAAAGAAGTCACAAGGGTGGCCACAACCACATATCTGACCCCCCACTCATTTTTAAATTTGTTGCACGTGCGATGTACCTAAGAAGGGCATGGGGCTTCAATTATACAGTTGTGACTGCCATTTTGACTCTTTTGAATCCTCCTGTATATGCCCTGCTTTTAAAACGTGCTTCTTTAATGCTGTGTCTACAAAATGTTATGTTTTCCTTCTGTAAATGAGTTGTATTTCCTTGTTATATATAAAGAAAAGCAAGGTATTTTGTCTTTTTAAAAACTCATTGAGTTTCTAATTTGGGCATTATCTGCAACATTAAACATGAAGTGGAAGAACTACAGTGTTTGACTGCTGGTATAAAGCATTATTTGTTAAATCTGACAATACTTTAAAGGTAACATGAAGTGGCATATACAGTATTTGATCATGAACTTTGACATCCAGAAATTCTGTGTTTTACATCTGCGAAAATTGCAGTGGGCTAAAACTAAAGGGCTAAAACTCTGAGATAAAAGGAATCCCTTTCAAAGCCTATTTTTACATTTCAGATGTACTATGAGAAATTCAGAACTTGAATGCCCAAAATTGAATTGCAGCTCTAGTCAGAAGAGTTAACGTAAAGAAAGTTCTGATCTTCTATATGCATGTTGGATTTTGTTTCAAGGATCCCTAGTTAACTTTATGGCTTTGTCTTTGGCAAAGCCTAACCATGCCTTTCCTATTTTCCAACAACACTGTAAAAGAGGGACATGCAATGTCTAGTTTTTGAACTTTAAAGCTGAGATTACTTTACCATCCATTACCACTGGCCATGCTGATTAGGCCTGATGAAAATTGGAATTCAACATCTGGAAGGGCACCAGGTACATGTACAGGACTTTATGCTACATAATTCTTTTCAAAGCTGCCACAAACCACTTTTCTTTGCTTTTTTGTTTCTAGGGAAAGCTCCACTGCCTAGACCAAGTTATAAATCTCCAGAACCCAATGGCTGTAGCTCCTATTTCCTGGGTCTCAAGGTACCGGAAAGTGTATGTACTGCTAATAACCCATTTCCCAGATGAAATCATGAACTGATCAAAACTTCCAGGAAGAAAGAAGCATTTGACTTTGCTGGAAATAGTTGCAATTGCTCAACTATTTTTATTCAAAGTTGGTCCAGACAGTCATTCATGCCATGTCATGCAAGCTGTTTCCCTGTGCATGCCAAGGGGGATGGCCAGCTGCTTATGGCAAACAAAATTATTGTGTTTTTGTCTGACCACTGCCCATATATTTTATTCTTTGATTGGTTGGGCAACAGAATATTTAGTCCCCAACTGTTAGGGACAGCTGCCGTGTTAAAATATATCTTCTAGAAATGGAAGATCTGGAAATGGATGCTAGCTAGAAAACCCCTATCATCTTAATAATGAAAGTTAAAGGCCCAGAGTAATATGCATATTAGCAACAAGAGGATTGCTAAAACACTCAAGTGTGGTTCAAGTTAGACTCCATTAGTGTGTATCTAGTCTCACGTCAGCTGTTGCCATGACCTAAGAATTTACCCAGCATCTGATATTTCCTGGCAGATGTAAAATTTTCTAGCAGTGGAATCCCCACATTCCACAATCCTTTTTTGCAAGAGTGATCTGTATTTGGCTGAATGGTACCTGCATTCTCCATATTCCATGTTTCCTTTGTGCAACTTCATCCTTGTCTGATACTGGATGGGATATTACACTGCACCAGCTTCAGGCTCACTGATCACTGATCACTGGTATCTTCAACATGATGCAACAGAAGGAAAATATTGCTCTACAACCATGAAATTTCCTGGTAAATCTCCAAGAAATCTGGGATAGTTGCTACTTTCTTGATATATCCAGGTTAGCTGAATGCATTCTTGGATGATGAACAATATCTTGACACTCTTTATGCAGTTAAAAGCCATAGGCAGATGTAACTCAGGAGATACTCTCCTGGTTCCTAAGGACCAAAATAAATAGATGATCAGTTTGCTTAATCTCACATTTCACTGCAGTCCTCCTGCTGGGCAGGGCAGTCAAATAGATAGCACTTTCATATGTTAAAATATTCATTATGAAATGGCATGAAGAGCTTTTACAGGAGAAATATGTGAAGAGGGAATCATTCCATCCCCTAGCCTTTTCTTTTTACATTCTTTTCCAGCTTGATATGGGCATCCCAGCCATGACTAAGTGCTGCAACCAGCTGGATATATGTTATGATACCTGTGGGGCTAATAAATATCGCTGCGATGCCAAGTTTCGTTGGTGCATGCAGTCCATCTGCTCTGACCTTAAACGTAGCCTTGGTTTTGTCTCCAAGGTCGAAGGTGAGTTTCTTGTTGGGACAGACATTAAGCACATCAACACGTAGCTGCAGTGCCAGACCATTTTCTAAGCTGCAGGTAGGGAAGGGACAGATATAGAGACTTGGACTCAGGCACTTGTGAATCAGCTCAAAAATCAGATATTGAGATTATCTGAATATTTTTTAAACCTATCACATGGATTGACTGGTAGTGCTAGACCAGATTTGTACTAATCCTGAAATGCATTAAAAAGTGTACCAAGTTGCATGCTCCAGACCAAAAAAGGGCCAATTTTCCCATGAGATCTGTAAGATAGAATTAGTTAGGAACGGATGTAAGCTGTACACAAAAAACCTTGCAGAGTATCTCTGGTTGTGTGGGTTCTGTGTGGTCCCTACATTTTCAGCTGGGTGTTACAGAGTTGGTTAAACTATTTTTTACTGCAGTGCTTGCACCCCTGAAAGGATCCATGGGGAAGCTGGGATTCTTCCCATTTTGGCCCTCAACTCCCACTGTGGAGTTGAAGCCCAAGAATGTCTGGAGGACATATTTCCATCTGGAGAAGTGAAAACAATTCTTCCTCTAAAACCAAACCAACCAACCAACCAACAAAAGGAATAAAAGCTATTGCATTGTAAGATAAAGGGGTCCATTAAAATACTTGCAAGTTAAAAAGGGTGTGAAATACACAACAAGACATGTTGAAAAAGATTATTCAGGCAGAAAGCAGCATTTCATTCCCATACACCATTAAGTTCTCTTTGGTTCAATCAGAAGCAGTTAGATGGCAGAGGGGTTGCTAATTTGTTTTTCGAATGTAACAATTAAGATAAATTAGGAGGTTCATACTTCTGAGCTACTGATGTACAGGACATTCCCTAAGAAAGTAGTTCACTAGCTCATTGGCTTCCTGACTCATTAGGGTGATCAAATGTGTGGTTTTACTATTTCATTGCATCTTACTCAAATGTCTCCTCTATTCCTCAGTGCCGTTCATCATTTCAGCAGTAATTATTTACATATCTATAAATGGAGGAGAGGACTGATTTGATTTCCATGAAGATTGGGTTTAGGACATTGTTTTCTAGATCTGTTTACGTAGCCCCAGTTCTCCCTGAGATTACTCTAGGAATTTACCTTAATACACAAAATCAGACTGCTGATTGCCCTTGATTAGTATTAGCTACATTCACTGGCATTATCTTCTAGATCAGTGTTTCTCAACCTTGGCAACTTGAAAATGTGTGGACTTCAACTCCATGGCTGGCTGGGGAATTTGGGGAGGTGAAGTCCACACATCTTCAAGTTGCCAAGGTTGAGGAACACTGTCCTAGATGTTCAGACAAGTATTTTTCTTAGCACTTTCTGCAGACCCCAGGGACTGAACATATGATCTTCTGTATAGAGAACATGTGCTCTCTTAGTAAGCTTCCCATTACCCCCATTTTCATAGTTAATTTCTAGCAAAATTTGTTCCTGCGCTTAGGAACATGAGAAGCTATTTTACTCATCTACCCTGCTGACCTTTCCAGCAGGGTAACACTGGAGAGTAACATGTAAGAGAGGGACCACATTTAATTATGGCTGTGATCAAAAGAAAGATACATCTTCCTTCAATGTACGCAGAGGAACTTTGACCTTATCCTTTCTAAAGAACTTCCCATCATATCCTCAATCCTTTCTTCTCAGACAAAAACAGGCAATTACATGACAAACAGTTTGATTAGCCTATCCTTCTAAGGGAAAGATGAAGGAAGGATGATGGAATGTAGCCTTTTAAAAGCATTGTGATGAAGTATGAATTTAATAATATAATTTGCATCCATTTTGCCCAAATACCATATTGGGGCCGCCAACTTGTTCTGAAAATGTTTGCTAGCTGTTTTATATCATTTGCTATTATTCAACAATTATTGAATTATTAATTATAGTGATTTAAATGGAAATATCAGCAGGATCATTAAATCTGCTTCCATTTAGAGATAAATATCATTAAATCAGCCTCAGTTTAAAGAAAAATATGGAAGAATTCAACTCTGTATGTATTTTTATTAATGAAAATGGAATAATTAATATAATTAATTATTCAAAAACAATAACAAAACCACAGATCATAAATGCACATCCTCTTGAAAAAAATTGATTGGGTAGCTAATAAACTCTATCCCACATTAGCTAAATTTACCATCCAGCTAGCCTGAGTAAAAGTTCCAGAAATGCTGAATCATACCAGCTAGAACAGCAAATCTAACTTGTTTTTCTGAATTCATACACACTTTCTTTAAAAATTATGATATCCAAATGTATTAAAGCTAACCCTGAAAATATTTGGCTCCAGATTCCAAATCTTTACAATATTCTGCCTTCTGAATTAATTTATCTGAAAGAAATAATGAAACCCATATTTTAACTATGAAGCTTTTTTTTTTTTTGCACTTATATTATCTTCTGTTGTCTCACAGATCCAGTCGCCCTTCTAAATACGCAGTCCTTGATTTCTGTATTTATTTTCCTTCCCTTGAATCTCTCTCTCCTCTCTTTTTAATCTTCCTTTAAGTATTTATCTGGAAGGAAATGTTCTCTCTTTCTTATAGCAAATGTCTCATGCATATTTATAAAGCTATATATTTTAAAATCACAGTGCCAAAATTCTTTTCCAGATTACTTCTACTAGTTAATAAAGGTGAATATACTTATAAATATTGGCTAGAACACAAAGAAGTAAGAAACAGTGTCTGAAAAGAAGAAGCTATTTTTCATACATTGTTTCAGAAGCAAGGAGGAACAGATCACAGTAGGGGAAATACAACCTGCTTTCACCAAGACTTAGGGCACTTCTACACAAGGGTTCTTCCTGAGTTTGAAAGTCCCTCTGTGTTCCCACCATGTTGGAAATGTTTAGAGATGCTGGGCCTCCAATTTCCAATTGCCATTCTCCTCCAGCTCCTTACTTCAGAGCCTGTAAGGGAAGTGCTAGTTAGCCCTTTTTGCAAATCCTCTTCCATAGGGCCAGGCTTGACTCAGTTTCTCCCTTTTCCCTCTGCTTCTGCATCTAAAATGCCAGACTATTTTTCTTTCCCTCCAGGGGCTGCATGGGAGAGGGTAAAAAAAGTCAAGATGGTGGTTGTGACTGCATGATTGAAGTTCTGCCACTTTTTTACATGCATGCCTGGTCACCCAGCTGCAGCCCTTATACTGACTTTTGACCTCCACATAGATACTCTTGCTATCCTTTCTCCTTGCCCTCCTTCCCTTCTTTCTGAATGGGATCGAGCACCTCTTGTTCACAGCTTTTCAAGCTGGCAAAATGGAGACAACCAGAAATGTTCTCCAAAGTGCTTCTGTGAAGTCCAGTTTAGGCAAGCCTATTAAAAGTTCTGTCTTAACCGCATAAAGGAGACCCACATTCAGGATAAACTGATCCTAAACTTATCAACAGGACTAAAATTTAGCCACAGGATGACCATGTGACAACTGGGAGAGGAGGAATTTTAAAACAGGAAAGTGGCATGGGGGGAAAAAATTAAAACCACCGTTGTCATTGCTATGGTTCCAGTTCAGCTTGTTCTCTCTCCCATGCACAGAAAACAGTTGCTTTTATTTTTATTTTCAAAATGGCAACCTTTCCTACATATTTAACATGTCATCATGCCAAATTGATCCTCAGTATTAAAGGAAACAAGGAATATAATAGCCTTTCCCAGCTTAATGCCTTCTCCTGATGATGGGAAAGAATCTGTAGTCCAAGTTACCTCAAAGGTGCCAAAGAATAGAGAGACTGGACTGTATCCAACGTGTCTGAGGAGGGGCCAAAGAACTGCCATAAGATGGACTTTGGCTGAGTGATAAATATGTACCGGTGCTGCTAAGCCTGGACCACAGGATGAAGTCCAGCTCATCCACCCCTTATGATGAACCAGTATGATGGCAATACCTTTAGAAATATAGGCACTTTGGGGCTCCAGAAGGAATGCCCTTTCATGGTGATAAAAACCTTGCATATATATGACTCCTGAGAATGTAGTTCTGGGCAGCTTATGATTCATTGATACTAAATGATTAATATGATAAAAATGAAAATGGCCTTGTATGCTAAAATAAAGGGACAAAATGCTTTTTTAAAAAAAAATATATTCTTATCCTATGTTTCTCTCAATGGTATAGCTATAACACTATTATAGCAAATGTTCTTAAAGTGAGTAATGCACCTTTTCATAATTGAATGTTGGATGTATTTTTGGAAGCTTTTGTAAAATGAGTAGAAGACTCTTTTGTCTTGGGAAAAAGAGGCCCAAGGGAATGGCAGGGCCCTGTTTGCTGTGGGGCATGGAAACTTAGCTCCTCCTAGGCACAGGTTCTGGAGGTTGACCCAGATCCTTGATCACTTCCCTATTGTTTAAGGAAATGAAGCCCCAGTCAGCTTATAGAAGGAAGATATGATTGGTTTTGACCTCTTTCCCTTTTGCTACAGCATGTGAATCAGTAGCGGATACGATCTTCCAAACGGTCAGGACCCTGGGCTGCCGCCCCTTCATGAACAGCCAAAGAAGTGCCTGCATCTGTAATGAAGAAGAACGAGATGAATTGTGAAATGAGCATCAGGCTGTTTGATAGTGTGACAATGGTAGCTTCAGGCATCCTTTGTTTACAAGAGGCTTGGTCTTCTATCTTCTGGAACAGGTGCAAGTTTCTTAGCTGTGGGGCTTGGGAATAAGCTTCTTGTGACCACAAATGCATTAATTGCAGTTTGTCAAGTGAACATGATTGAGAAAGCAATTCCAAAAAGCAATGGAATTGCTTGGTCTGACACCCTAATCTGTTCCGAGGTCTGACACCCTCATCTGTTCTATCCGATGACTTCTGTCCACTTCCCAGAGCATCTGCTTGACTTAGAGATGACGCTTAATGCAAGAAGAGCATCTGAGATGTGTGTGAGCAGTCCAGACATAAAAGAAGATCTAGAGGCTGCAGGATGACACTGATAATAGTGCACTAATTTGCAGCCAATATACATATATATTGATTTTCACCAGATACTGTTGCTTTTGCTTTTCAAGTGAAACAAAACCATGGAAATCTGACGTTCCTGGAAAAAGAAGTCCATCAATATTTACTAGATTACCAAGTACAGTACTCAGTTTGACACAGAATATGAGGTTGTGGGCATCTGCTTGAAGATAAACGAGAGAAGAACACCAAGATCAGAGTATGAAGTCATTGCATAATACTCATTTTATTTTCACTAGAACATTGTTCCAGTTAAAGAGAAAAAATATGGATTATCTTATAATAAGAAAAAGGTATAAATGGTACATGTGTAAGAAAAATATGAAATGCAGAGCATTCTAAACTTTTATTAAATAACATATATAGTTTAAAATAATATCAGAGATTGCAAGAAACTTCTAGAATCATTCTATTCTAATTCTAGAATAGAAGTACTAGTATTCTACAACTTCAAGTGGCACAACTATATATATCTGAGACACGTAAAACTCTTGGGCCCTCACGATTCTTTTTCTATACCCTCCACTTTAAAATTGAAGCATTCTGATAGATTGCCCATTGCTCTCTGAAGAAAGGAGAACTGACATTTCTTCTCTGAACATAACTTAATGGAATTAAACTGCCTTCTGATGAGATTGAAGTATTTGAAGCTGCTTTTTGTACTGCAGCAACTGGGTTTGCGTTGTCCAACCTTTTACATCAGATGGATTGGTTCTTTCTCACAATCCCCGCAAGAAAACTTTCCCCTTCCTCTGTTTTTGCAATTCTGTGAGAGAGATGCTGTCTATCAGGAATGTTTCATTGGATCCCCAAATTCTTGTTATCGTTGTACACAGCAGTATCATAGCATCCTGATGAAAAGTATACAAGCGGCAAAGGTTTTTTGAATCAAGAGGGAGAAAGAGAAAATTTGCATGAAATCAGCTCTCACATGTGAGAATATGAGTTTTCAAAAAATACATATTTAGCAAGTTAAAACTTGTGCAATTTTCAGCACTGTAAATATCAAGAACTTTTTTCCAAAGTTATTTTTGGGGGTGGGGGCAGGGGTGATTACAGACAATATAGACTGATGCATAGTTTCTTAAATCAGCATGGAGAGCTAGCATAAATAAAGTCATTGGAAGACATTTCCTGATAATTCCATAAAGAAAAAAAAGGGGGGCAAGAAAGAGATAATAGTAAGCTGTGCAGTGGTAGCAACAGATTTCCAAACTCCGTAACAGTGAAATCTATAAAATTTTCTGGAAAAAAATGTATTTAAATGTCCCAATTTTCCCTTTAGCAAATTGAATAATTCAAAATTTATCCTATCAGTTTCCATAGCTGCACAGCCAAGTTTTACAGTATGAATTTGGGCATGCTGAAAACTTTATTAATCTGTGCATTAATCTGGGAACAGGAAAGTTTTCAACCCTTGTATGACCTGCAAATCACCATTCTTTTCCTTCCCATTTGCAAGATTTTCTCAGTTATCCCTGAGAACACTCTCACCATCTGTTGAAGTGCTAAGAAAGCATTCGAAATGACTAGTGCTCCTTCCACACAACCACAACGCTGACTACCCAATCATCACTAACATTTTTCTACCACTGCTTTGCAAGAGTGATTCCCTTCCCTTTGCTGCAGCTGGCCAATGGGGGTATATTAACATTTGCTTTTCGTGGGGTTAGGATTCCCCCCCCCCAAAGAAACTTATTATTCTGCAGTGGCACAGAGAAAACATCTCTCAAAACAGCCCCAAAGTAGTAGAGCAATAGTGCAAATTATCACAAAACCTTCATTTCAGGAGGGGAGAGAAAATCTTAGGAATGGGGAGGCTGGGGAAGATAGGAATTCCAAATGGGAATTGCCTATCTCACAGCTAGGGAGGAGGACACAACTGTCTTTGCTGTGTCTCCTTTAGATCAGCAGCCAATTAACTTCTGAAATTAATTGACTCAGAAGAAAAGACTGCCAGGAGCATCAAAGCATCGGGAGGGCATACAAGGACAGTGCCTATCTGAGATCAGTAGGGAAAGGTCCTCGATCCATGAAATCATAATTAAGCCTATGAGGATTTCAACTCTTCAGAAAACAATCCAACAAACAAGCATGACAATTTAATATGTTGACACATTACTGCCACAGTCCCTGTCCCAGCTGTTATCCCAATGTCACTACAGGCATACCTCGTTTTATTGCGCTTCACTTTATTGCGTTTCACAGATATTGCGTTTATCAAACAGCATTGCATGCTACAGAGAAATCTTCCGTGAAAGGAAGAGTCAGTCGATGGAGAAATTGTTGCCTAATCTTAAGATTTTTTTAAACTAAGGTATATGTACACTGGGGTTTTTTTTTACACACAATGCTATTGCAGACTTAATAAACGATAGTCTAGTATAAACATAATTTTTATATGTACTGGGAAACCAAAAAATTCACGTGACTCGCTTTATTGCGATATTCGCTTTATTGTGGTGGTCTGGAACCGAACCCACAAGATCTCCGAGGTATGCCTGTACTGCTTTACAGAAACTCAGGATTTTGATATGTATGAAGAATTATTTAGATGAATACAAAAAGGGGTAGAGCTTCCACTGTACAGCTGTAGCTCCATCTTGACTTTTTTTGAACCCCTTCCTGCGGATGTCCGTGCATTTTTGGCTGTGCTTTGAATAAATCATGTCTAATTGGAGTGAATCCTGTTTTGACTCTGCAAAATCAAATTTCCCATTCAGTGTCACTGCACACATCCAACAGTACTGAGATGTGGGTTACATCTAATTTGATCTCAAGAGGAGCATATGCTTGTGAGAGAAATGGGCTATACCCCTTTCATATATATATTTATATTCATACATCTATTCTTGCACATCAATTTTAATTGGGCCACTTGTCAGAATATGATTTGTGATGTGATCCCATTCCTCCTGTGGTTTAGCTCTTCTGCGCATCCGTCTATGACAGCCCTGTGCACAGCGAGATGTCTCATCCGTTACTCCACATACAAGGACCCGGCAATGCAGGAACACTTCCTAAATAAAAAGGATGCATATTTATGTATAAATACATATATATGTCTGTCTGTCTGTCTGTCAGTCAGTCATCTGGCCAAACAAAGATGATAGGGGAAGGAAGACCAGTGGTTCAGAAAAAATGCTATCTCATACTGCTTTGCTTTTCAGCCACAAGGAATGTATAAGCTTCTGACTGACATCTACGGATTTTCATGCCAGAAATTGGAAGAAGCAGACTCCTATGTCAGGAGATTGTCAGTCTAAGAGGCAGGTATTTATACTGCCTTGGCTGTAGTTCTTGGTACAGTATTTTGAAACTTCTGTCATACAGGATATGAAGACAAAAACAAAAAGTAGAAGTAACATTAGCCTGGTACAATCTTCTTTGCACTGAACCTTCAGCCATCCCAGAATATAATATAAACATAATTATAATTATCCCATAATATAATCCCATAAAGGCACTGATCCAGCAGCAACCTTTTCCTCAACCATCAGATACACTTGCAAATGCAAATAAATGGATCTGCTAGAAGTTGTCCAATACTAGATGTCAGCTTCAGAGACTGAGTCACAACATTTTGATTGGAGATCTTTAAAAGCAGCCAGATTTTATCTCATTTTAGGTAGCAACAGTATTTTACTCTGGAGCAAAAATTTAAAAGAAGTAATGTCATCTCTTTTTTAAGAAAAGCTGATGATATCTCTACGCTGTAGAATAAAAGCTGGTTTCTCTATCATTCTTTCCTTGAAATTTTGAAACTGCTGGGTGCCAGGTATCTGAAACTCCTTGTTGAATGCAATGGGTTAGTGGCATCAACTGAAATGCGTAGTGTTAAATGAATTCTTAGGATAAGCCCACTCATACTTATTTATCTTGTAATGACTAGAAAGTTAAGAAGTGCTTGCACGTGAGAAACTCTCACTTCAGAACAGAGAGTTTTGATATCATCCAATCTAAAATAATGGTACAAAATTTCCAAGAGAAGCAAGCTATGAAATCATCTTTGTGGTGCAATGGGGTAGTATTTAGCAACTGTATCTCAGACAGTCCATTTCTGAAACACTGAAACACAGCTCAGGAGAAAGAAAATATGGTAGGTCTGGGAATTAGAAGAAGAGAACAGCAGGGCTAGGCAAGTCTTGAAAGAGTTTTGCAAACCTTTTATTAAGATTAGCTTTCCCTGATTTGGTTTTGCTTAAAAACGGCTTCCTAATTAGTTAAACCCCCCATTTACCAATAATATTCATTCTCATGTTCTCATAGTCAAGTCTATCAAATGTGACAGAAGATCTTGGTGGCATCTGGATCTTCTGCTAGTCCATTTCAGTAGATGCCAAGGCCACCTGTCTTTGTCAACTCTGTTGAAATTCAGGAATTTGAACTGTGGTATAGTTCTTGCTTACCTTGTTGTCTTTACCCACAAATTTGAACACTGGGACCTGAAAGTGTTTAGCCAAATGATCCTTTGATGTATACTGCTTTATGGAATCATCAGAAACACAACTGGGGAGAAAGGGAGAGAAGAGAAATATCAACAGCTTTCATACAGTGATGTCCAAAAGGAAGAAGATATCTCAGTGCCTTCCAGGGAAGACAGGGAGGTTGGCAGGCACTCCTATTGCTGTCTTTGGCCCTAGTGGTAGGTCAGCCAAGACTGAAGATGAAAAAACAGAAGTGGAGTCTAATTGCATTGCCAGAAATAAAATACCCACAGCAACAAAAAATAATTAAAAGAATTCATATGGCTTCTCTCACAGTCTGGACTTGCAGTCTGCTTAATGACCAAAGGATCTACAAGCATCCTAAATCAAAGGAATATTTAGCCAACCTTTGATTTCTGCAACAATGATACATAGATGACTCAGGGACGTGGCAAAACCAAAGGGCTAATGGAGAAAATATTGTAGGAAACATTTCTTCCTTTCTTCTCGGGTTCCCAAATACATGGGATTAATCACAACACAGTCAAATAAATTTTCCTAGCAATTTTTAACCCTAACTTTTCAAGTTAATTTTTGTATATTTCTTTAAAGTGGATTGCAAATCCTAGAGCTGGAGAAAATAGTTTTTAAACATTGTTTGGAAGTGGGACTTCTGTATGTAGGGGATACATTCCACATCCTACATTTGGCTTTTTTGTTGTTCACAGGTGTGAACAAGGGGAGGGAGTCAAAAAAATCAAGATGTCTGCCACAATCCTGGGATCAAAGCCCTCTCCCCTTTTAATGTATGCTGTGATGCACATAAAAAAAGACTGGGGCTTCAATCAGAGAGTTGTGGCTGCCATCTTGACTCCCTGCCAGACACTCCTGCAAATAACTAAAACGCTTATTTGAGCCAAGAAATGGGCAATGGAATGCATTATTCCCAAGTCATTTTGTTCCATTATCCTTATAAAGTTTCAGGATTTGTGAGACCAAAGATGAATTAATCAAATCATTACAGACAGCTCTTTTTTTTTATTATTTCATCAATGTGAAATACCTTCCAAGCCTTAATCCAGAATCAAAACCAACTGAATTAATATACAGAAAGTAGACTGAGGATGGCAAAATGAATTCCCTTGAAAAATTAGATGTCATTCTTAGGACTTAAAAATACTGAGAATTAATTGATAGGTGGTGTTATTTTTCAGTGTCTAGTTTCTTGTCTGTGTCTGTGTCTTCAAATAAAAACCACCTTCTTTGGTGGTGAACGATAGTACAACAGATTGCTTAGCAGCAATCTAATCTCCAGAATGTAGACTTTGAACATTATAAAACTTGCTACATAGCACAAAATGCAAGGGAAAACTAGTAGACGTGGACAACGATGTCCAGATAGAAATAACCTTTGCTACTTGGAATCTGGCATCAATAGCTGATTAATTACATTTATCCTGAATGAGAAGAGCTTACCAGACAGAACTTGAATTTTCAGGATAATGTGAACTGTAGTTGCTTATATTATTGCTATATGGGGAAAAAATCGTTTTATAAACATATCAAGAAAGGTTCAACAATTATTTCTGTTGTAAGCACCCAGAACAGGCTTTGAAGAATAAAATAGTCTACATAAGAAAGTATTGTTGTCTTTAGTTAAAACCTATGCTATAATAAATTAATTATTTTTTAAGGTGCCACTAGATTCTTTGCTTTTCTTGCAACTGTCGAAGACTTTTTATAAGCAGAAGTGGAGTCCCACGCATCGAGTAAGATCCATCCAACATATGCTTCAGCATTTTAAAGGATCAGATAGATCACTGTTGTAAGTCACAACTATAAAACCTATCCATTCAAATACAATTTCAAGGATTACTTCCCTCTGCAGTTTCCCTACACCCTTCTGTTTATTAGGCCATTGGTTTTAATTGATCAGAGAGAAAGAAAGAACTCAAATGAATACTTTCTGAGTATTTAGGTCTCTGAGAGGTTAAAAAATCCATGGCACCTGGAATATGGATTATATTGCTTCCAAGCCATGTTCTGCAAAGAAAGCTGAGTAGCAGAAAATTCCCTTCTGACTGGCAGGAAGGGAGCTGCTTTGGATTGTGAGGCATGCCTAGGTTTGCTCCAGAGAGTAGTGGTTTCAAGGCCAACCTTTGGGGGGGGGGGCGTTGTGTGTGAAGAGAAATTCAAAAATTCAAAATGGTGGCTGTGAGATGAAAGCCCAGCCCATTTCTGGACATGTATTATAGATAAAAAGGGGTGGGGCTTTGATCACACAATCAGAGCTGTCTCTTGGTTTTTTTAACACCCCCCCCCCAACAGATTTCTCAATTTCTCTAATGCCGGCTCAACGAGTGTCTTTGTGATTAAAAATAAAACTAGTCCAAAGACAGATGGAACAATGAAGCAATGGTAAGGAATCCCAAAAGACTGCCTAACACCAGGACTGAACTTCTTTAACCTACATTTCCATTACGTTATAATTTTAGCATTACAAGGATAAGAACACCAGATGTCTTTAGTAAATTTCCCCATTTCACATTATGTCAGTGAGATTCAAGGAACTGCATAAAGCATTCATGAAGGAGCTTAACATTGTTATTCACAAATGAAAGTGTTAACTTACGGTATGAGTTTAGGGATAATACTTCTAAAATTGTTTCAGAAGTAACAGATACAAAAATGATCTCTAGGGGAACTTATAAATGTATGAAGTACACCGGAAAACAACAACACCTATATAAATTAAGAGACTGGATAAACACCAGATGCCACATAAGACCTTCCTTGAAAGCATGATGAGTCTACATTGATTTAAAAGGGCATGTTCTTTCTTTTTAAAATAAAACGATGCAATAGTTTATTCAGGATGAGAATGTAATTAGCTGCTTATTCTGAAAGGATGTTGTATTTTAGGAACTGCATTTGTTAAAGTGGAATATAGCCCATTCAAGTTTATACTATAGGAAATTGGTTAATATTTATAGTGCTACAAGACTCTTAGACCATTGGGTTAAACAAAAATGCCATCCCTTCCCCTTGCTATTGAAATAGCCTAGTCTAGCAAGAGAGATGTCCCCAGTAGCAGGCAATCTGGTTTTTAAGAACACAGTTGGGGAATCTTTTTTATTGTATTTCACCTGGGTGTCTTTCTTCATCAAAAGCCGTGACTTAATTCACCTTTGCTCCTGCAGAATTTCCATTGTGTAAGTTCACACACACCATAGGCAAGGAGATGCCACTCCCCCATGATTAAGAATCCAGGGCTTATGCAGGTAGAACTGGCTCTATAGCATTCCTGTGCATGGACCTCCTCTAGCACCAGGATGGTTTCTAAATGAATCTGAGCAGCAGAGGAAAGAATCATTGCTGCCCTGTGTAAGATCTGAGTTAACTCCTGTCTACAGAGTAAATGGACAAGACTCCTGGTTTCCAAGCTGAGTTTCAAAGGAGGAGTTATTAATCACACTTCCTTTGCATCAAGCTTTCTAGTTTGTTGGAGCTGTCCCCAAACTTTAGCCTTTATACAGTACCTCTTAGGATAATAATTTCTAGAACTTCCAGCTTATCAATCATAAGCACAACTTAGCGCGATGAGTAAATGGTTCTTTTCTTCCATCTGCTTAGAGGATTTATATTTTAAGAGACCCCAACTGTTCTTTTAATCTCCCATTTCTCTAAAGGAACACTATACCCTTAGAAATGCCTAAGTACTTTATTGTTAACTTGCAATGATGGATGGCCCCAGATTGCCCTTTCCTGTCACGGTTGCTTCTGTTTTTTATTTGCATTTCCTATCACTCTGTTATTTGTGGACGCTGATGTTTAGCAGGGCATACAAATGCTTGGAATCTGAATTTTGAGAGTGTCCAAATGCATCCTGAAACATTGAACCAACCAAGGATAATGATAAGAAATTCAGAAGTATTTTACAGTTCTTGGGCCAAGCTGTGATTAATTTTACTATTCTGAAACTAGTGGCCTGCTAACCAGTCCAGGAACAATTCATTGGAAAGCAATTAGAGATATTGTTGTGAATTTGTTACTTCTTTTAAATAATCCCTCCTCTGATCTCTAGGTCCATATATAACTTGAGGCTAAACCATAGATTTAACCATAGGTTGGGGGAGTTTTATTCACCACCAGTTAAACACAAGTATAATTCTTCACATGGTAGTTTATCAGGGCTCCCAGCTGCATGAAAATTCTACTCCTTTCAATCAATTATGAGTAGAAAATCGTTCTAGATTGCCCTGGTCATGACAAAGAAGATTAGGGGACATATGGGCACTACATGTGGAAATAATATAAGATGAGACCAGTGTATCTCTTCCCATGTTTCTTGCATGTCCTTTTATCATACTCCAAAAAGTGTAAGTTCTACCAGCTTGTGTTACTTAATCATTCTTGCCACCTGGTTGTGTCATATTTTCCTCTCTATTGCTCAAATTCTGTGTCCCTGCACTAGTTTGAAGTTCATTTGAGATCTTTTGTCAACTTTGGGTTTCCATTCTCAAGACTCTATGAACATCTACAGGCCAAGTCTACCAATGTGTGTGTCTCTCTCTCTTGTTCATAGTCATGTTGGGTTTGGCTACCTAAACACAGGGAGAACAAGATTTTGAATCAAATGTCATATATAGGATAATATAATATATCATCATATACATCTAATTGTACAATTTAGGGTTTACAATACAAAGAC